ATAATTCATTTGTTGATTATATTTTTAAGTTATTATTTGAACTCAAGCTCAAACTCATTTGTTTATTGAGTAAACCTTAATTTATGAGAATGAGAGGGAGCAGATTTGGTGGACTTTTGCACATTGCAACCGACTTCCCAAGTCTTGAACCCTTACCCACGACCATGCAGAAGAAAGCATTAAGTATTATTAAATAATAAATGAATGGATAAATGAAAAATGAAATGAGCATGTACAATAACAACAATATTCAAGATAAATTCTTGTTTTAATTGATGTCAGCCTCAACGATCCATATGAAATAATCAAATAAATCCCCTGCTTTGTTTTTTTTTTTATCTATGTATACTTAGAAATGTATAAGCAGTTTTATTCTTATTCAATAGTGAGAGTTTATAGACACAACACAAGAAATTAATATAAAACATGAATCTTAGCTACTAATAATTGGGATTTTAAGAATTATATTTCATTAAATTTAAATTAATTCAATCTTTGAGAGAAAAATGAAAAAGCATAAATTTCTAATGCAAGAGCTTGTCAGATGATTTTTTTTTTTTTTGTTAGAATGGGCAAAGATATATCATTGAAAATTATCTAATGATGTGAGAGCTATAAACACCAATTATATCTTCCTTTAAATAATTACAAACTTTATTGGGTGGGTTCTCAAAGAAATGTAGACCATTATCTAAAGGTTAGAATTTTGATGATATTAACTTTGCATAAATATTTTTTTGATGCCATTATGTCTGTACAAATATTTTTCTCACACAATCACGTACTCAATCTTTTTTCATTAAAGTTTTGCATTTGCGGACTAGATGTAATAATGCATTAACGTTGGTAGCACATTTTGCAATCTTCGAGTAACTAACAAAAGAATCATTTTCTATAATGACTTGTCAAAATCCTTTTTCCCATCCTAAGTCCATCCCTTTCCATATAGCAAATAACTTAGCACGAATTGCTAACCTTTTACCTAATTGTTGCAAGTATCCAAAGATCCACTGTCCTGTTTCATCTTGGCAACATCGCTTGCAGCAAGGTTTTTAAAATCGGACCGGATCAGCCGGTTGAATCGGTCGGACCGGTATCCGGTAATGAAAATGGTTCGGTTCATATAAAAAAATCATTTAAGGTCAAAATCGGTCAAAAATCATTTAAAACTGGTCAAAACCGTTTAAAACCGATCAAAACCGATGAAACCAGTGAAACCGATAGAACCAGAAAAATCACCGGTTTAATTTCTCATGCAATTTTCTTTTTATTTTTTTCAATTTCACCCTCACCATTCCTTTCTTATACCAATTTTAACTTTTAATTTTAATGAAATTACAAAATTACCTATTCCTCTCATCAAATTTCCCTTGTTATTTGAACCGATCGGTTCATTGATTCAATCGATTGAACCGGTCAAACTGAAAACCAGACCCGAAAATGGTTCAATGACCAATCCGGTTTAAAAAACCTTGGCTTACAGCAGATGCACTGTGTATACCTTCTGCTGATCCATTTAGGTTAAGGGTATCTTTGGTAAAACTTATAAAAGTTTATTTTTTTTATATTATTTATATTTTATAAATTTAAATTTTTTTAAAAATGTTATATTTTATATTTTTTTAATTTTAAAATAATTTTAAATAATAAATTTTTAAAAATTTTAAATTTATATTTTTTATAACTTTCTTTTTTATTTAATTTTTTTTATTTTTAAAAATAATTTTTAAATTTTTTTAATAAAAAATTAAATTTATTACTTATAAATAATAATAAAAAATTTTTACAAACTTCGCCGAACATCTTCTAATCTTGATAAACAGTTGGGGTGGAGGGTCTCAACCAAAGAGGTGAATCTCGTACCGTATCGATAGGTACAATTGGTACATATCGATTTTTTATGTTGATCGAAATGATATAATATGAGAATTCATTTCGATCAAAATCCGATTAATTTGGTCAAAATTTAGTATATCGATCGAAATTTTGGTGTATCGATCGATTCACCGAAATTTTGGTGTATCGATCGATTCACCGAAATTTTGATCGGTATACACTGGCAAATTAAAAAAAAAAAAAGGATTCCTTAGCCCAAAACGACGTCGTTTTGGGCTAGAGGCTTCTTAATACCCTGTAATTGCAATTTCAGATATCAGTACACAAAAATTATTCGTATAACTCAATTCAAATATAAAAAGGGTAAGGTCTATTTTTGGTCATTAACTTTAATGTTATATATAATTTTCATCCTTTAACTTTTTTATATATTTTTTAGTCAATTTTTCATTTTTTTTAATCTTTTTATTAATTATTTTGTTAAATTTATCTAAATATACATATTTTAATCCCTTAATTTAAAGTGGATGGATGAAAAATATACATATATTAAAAGTTGAGAGACTAAAAATGATCATTTTAAACTTATTTTTAATTTATAAAAATATCATAATTTTAAATATTAATATCTCTTATTTTATTTTAAAATTTGATATTTAATTTATAAAAACATATATTTAT